GAGTCCTGCTCAGGCACTCACCTCCCGCCTGCGTGAGCGTGGGCTCGGAGGTGGCGCCGGCCTGCACAGACACGGAGCCGTCGCTCACCGCCGCTGCGGGGAAGTAGGCGAAGCGCGCTTCCCCACTTGCTGACTGCCCGGCCGGGCTTCCTCCATTACTGAAAGGGTTCTGGATCACCGCCTGTGACGGATAAGAGAGAGACACACGCGGGACGAAAGAAGCGTGAGCGGGGCAGCCAAGTCAAGAGCCTGCCTCGCCATGGCTGCAGCACCCCTTGGGCATGCCAAAGTGTTGTTTGACAACTGCGTTAAAATGGGGAAAAAAGCTCAAATAAGCAACGTTCTTGTCAATGACATCATCCGTGGTTTCAACCCAAAAAGTTAATTTGATTCCTTCCAATGCAAACGACAAACGTTTTACCCTCTGTGTCGCATTTGCTAGGGGGACAAGTCATTAACCCCCCTCATTAACTTTTTTTCGTGCGTCCTGTTATGATGGACATGTCCAACCAATATCATGTTGAACTGTTGAGTTTTGGAGTACGGTGCCTCAAAAGGCCAATTATTGAGTCAAACAATAAACAAAAATTCCAAGAGGGCCTTAATTAGATGTGCGGGGGCACTTATCGAAGCGGCCGGTGAGGTGACGTGCCTCGTGCTGCGTTCAAGGTTACTAGGAATCCATTTTCTTATTCAGTCCATCCTCGAATGAACATTAAAGAGTCGAGCACTTGAAAGGAAAGTGCCTCTTTGGCCATACACTCAGCGGCTACATCAATTAGATACAACTCCACAATCTAATGAGAGGTTAAACACAGCACATTTTGCATGCACTGAGACAATCACGTTCAGTTTTAAATGCTGTGCTATAATTAGCTGAAATTTAATAAAAGGCCTTCGGTACGATGCAACTCAACTACACTCTCTTTCTAGAGCACTTTGAAATAACCACTGCTGTAGACAAAGATATATACATGGAGCAAAAATAATTCATACAACAACAAACAATAAAACAAACATTCATAACAAAGACAGCAGAAAGCACAAAAACAGTCCAAACTAAACATCAAGTCTCATGCTGAGTCAAAAGCCAAAGAATAGAAATGAGTTTTTAAAGAAAAGGCTTCTTCCCCTCAGAGCCCCCACGTCGAAATGTGGAAGAGCAAGAAGGCAAAAAAAAAATAGAAGAGCAAAGAGGAGGCAAAAAATAAATAAAAAAAGGACTTGACCTTGCGCAATCGCATTAGAGCGATAGAGTGAGTCGCAATAACAGAAGTGTTAGAGTGTTAGAGCACAGTGTTAGCATCTTAAACAATTTTAACACTGTCTATTCCATAGACAGTTCAGTTGTTTTTAAAGAAATTACAAATGAGATTGGAATCACTTGGATTCAGTTTTGTACATCATTCAAATAAACTATTTTCCGTACGCCTTTCAACTTGGCGTGTGCATGAGTACCTAATAAAGTGGCTGGTCCAAGTGTTGTCAAAACAGGTGAGTGACGCCCCCTGACGGCCAATGAAAGCCACCACAATAACAATGAATTCTCAATCGAAAACGACCACTACACAACAGTGTTTCATGTTTGTGAACAAGAGGCGCCAGGATCATTTTCCGTGGCAGAAAAATTAGTGACTAATGTTGACATAAATTAGAAACGATTACATTCAAAAAAAAAATTTTAAAAAGTTCTGTTTACTAACGGAAAGCTTACTTTTCTGCCACCTGGAATTGCGTGTGAAGATGAGCCAAACTGAATAATAACTACAACATGTTCAAACACTTGGTGAGACATCTCAAACAAACCCAAAAAAAACAACAGATAACTCCATATTCATAACAGGCTGGGTACCTGAGCAACAGCCTGAGGAGCGCTGCTGAAGGACGCAGCAGAGACGACACCCACCGCCCCGCCAACGTCGTCGCGTCCCTCAAGGTTCTGTTCAGTGACCTGGACCACACGATAAGTCACCTGTAAGGCGGGAAAAAAAAAAGTTCATAAAAAAATATAAGAAATAGATGTTCTGTTTCTACAGTGTGAATACCTGGCTGGTCGATTTGTTAATCATATCCCACAAGGTGCAGTACAATACGCTTCAAGACTGGATTTTGCCAAATGAGAAAATGGTCTTGTTTGTTCCAAGGGAGACCCAATTTGTAGCCCCGCATCATGTGACTCTCTCCCTCCCCTGACTGACATGTGACAGCAGCCTCGTGCCAATCCCGGCCTGGCCTGGCATCACATGATATTGCTCACGCTCTCACCCTCACCCCATGTATATGCCAAAATGAATCCTACATGGATGACCGGGTATCAAATGCCACACTCATTTTCCGGAATGAATTGATCTGGACTAAAATTATATAGGGTTGGTATAATGAATGTAAATTTAAGAAAAATACCTGATACCAAACACAAAAAAAATCCACCATTAACTTGCAGCAACTTCCAAAGAAAGACCACTTTTGCCCCAACAGAAAATAAGTGCTTTTTCTCAGAAAAAAAAACATCGCTTTTCTCAAAACATGAATGTAAAAGTGTAATTTAATAAATTAACATTTTAAGGTTCAAAATCAGACTCACCTGTCCCCCGTCAGTGCTTAACTGGTACTCGATGTTGTGATCCCCAAATGTGGCGGCCTGCTGTATGGTGACACCTGTCTGCTCGTCTCCGGTTCCGTCTGAGGAAAGGACATTTTAGTTTGATTGATTTTTTTTTCCCCCCACGACAGTACAAGGGGAAAAAATAAACAGATTAAAAAAAAAAACACCCTGAGGTCAAAATGGCCTTTATCAACACACAGTGGAGGAGTCACGCTGAACTTTGAAGGTTCCGCCCAGAGGGTAAAAATAAAAAATAAAAATAAGAAAAAAAATAGATTGATGGGGAGCAAAACTGCTCCTGTCCAAGTAGTTAAATGACTACAAATCATAACAGCACCCCTTACAGTCTCCTAGAGTAGACCCAGATGCCTAGCTTCAGACCACGGGGTTGCTCTGTGACTACGCTTGTGACCCAAAACAACCACATCTCAAATTATCTTTACACATTGAAATGAAAGGAAATTCCATCTATTCCGGACCCCATAAAACACCAACAACAAAAAATTGCAACACGTTTTTTTTTTTTTAGGGAAAAAGCACTTTACAGTATTGTACTTTATAAAAAACTGCCATCATTTCCATTTGTGCATCACAATTCATACTTCAATAACCATTGGCATTCATGTATTTCAAAGTTTTACTCAGAACTGAAACCAAAACAAAACAAAAATGGTCTAGTCACAGCCTGTATACCGAACTTCCTGTGCACTTGCAAGGATGAATAAATTGAAAAGGCTTTGGACAAACCTCGTTCACTTGCATTCTGGAGGCAGTGACAGAGTAACATTACAAAAAGTTGCTAGAATTGTTGCAACTGTTTTTTGTTTGTGTTTTTTATTCGGGGGTGGTAGGAATGTTCACTAGAGGGGTTGAAAAACTCACCAAATATTGTGATAAAGATCGTAAGTTGGCAACACTCAACCCTTTGAACTGCTTAAAATTGCGAGGAAAAATGTCTCCTTACATGTGCCAACAAATGCGTTGTGGTTTCTGCAATATTTGTCGGCATTTATTCTGCTGAAAGCAAGCCACTTTGACGAATCTAAAACTTTTGACACTCCTCAACAAACGGAAAGCCACTCACCCTATTAGTTAAATCATTTGCTGCAAACCGTTTGCTTCGTGAAATTGAGATGGTGACTTGGTCTCGCAATCAAGAAAAGTGAGAAATTAATTATTTGATGGAGAAGAATGGAAAGTCAGGCGCAACGATACTTCCCTAGAAGCAGAATGTAAGCCAATGTCCAATGTATGTGCAAATGATACTGGATACTAGAAGTATCGGAGAGACAGATGTGTCAAACTTACTGTCAGATGCTTGTACCTCCTCGTCTTGTTTATCTTGGCTGCGGATGAACACAACAGAAATGTCACTTCGACTAAGAAACCTCATTTTATAGCACAAATAAATGCAATTCTAAATATTAGCTTAGCTTCTGTGAAACTTGAGTTCAAATGAATTGACATAATGACTTGAAACCTGACTAGATTACTTTAGAAAGCTAGCCTAAGCTAGCCTATTTCAAGTCTTTTTTTTTTCAATCAACACCCTGTTTGAGTTATAAATACATCGAAATGCAACTAAGTTCCCCCAACGACAGACTGTAAAAAGCTACAAAATCCACTTTCCGAAGTAGTTTTTTTCTTCTTTACTCGGGAAAAGACTATTAGCATGTTGTGCTTAGCTTGTGGAGATTAGCCATTTTTTTGTGACACGGTTTTACCTGGCGTTGTCCAGACTCTGTTCGAGAATATCCATCAGGGTCGGAATTTAAAAAAAAAAAAAAAACTGTGGGGAGGGGGGATCTTCAGTGCGACGGATGGAGATGGAAGTGCTTGATCACGGGGACAAACACTCGGGTCATGTGAGAGGAGACAGCCCTGGACACGTGAGACGCAGCTCGGCTTTGGAACCAAAATGGAGGCCGGCGGAGCAGTCGGTGTAGCTGGGGCAGCTGAAGTGACTCCAACGTCGGTTTTTTTCAACTAAGCGGTTTATCCTGGTGGTTTGTACGGCCGCGGCAACTGAATGACTTGAAATGTCCAAACTGTGACGTGTTGCGACACCATTCAGCGATGCATCACGAATTGATTCCCGAGCTTCCGAATTGCATTGATGAACCCAAAAGCACAACATCCAAGCTGTTTTTATGCTCGTGAGTTCGAAGCTAACTCTGTTTAATGTTTGACGATGTACCACAACACCTGCAGGTAATACCTGTATTGTACTCATGTGGGTGTGTGTGTGTGTATACGATATATATATTTTTTTTTTCTAATGTAGAAAATACGTTGTCTCTGAATCTTTCATTAATAGATTTGATAGATTGTGAGAGTGTATAAGGAGTGGTGTATAAGTTCCTTCAAGTTACAGTTAAATAAGTGCAGTTGTGTATTTTGCAAATTTTTTTTTAAAAACGTTAATACAATTTTTAAAAATTCAAATACAGTTTATTTTTATGAAATGCGGGTAAATAAAAAAGGATTTCCTTTTTGACCATGATATATGTTTGTGTTATGTCTAAAAACAAAGTTTTATACAGTATGTATAGCTCTTAATCACAAAAGTCTCGGCTTCACAGGTTACATATTCATACGAGGGCTATGAAATGGCTTCACAGTAACTGATACCAAAATTCCAGAACATACACTAAAACAAATACACACACACAGACACATATAGATAGATAGATAGATAGATAGATAGATAGATAGATAGATAGATAGATACTGTATACAGTATATATGTTTTGCACATACAATACATTCCAGCTCCGGCCTCCCTGTGTGGAGTTTGCATGTTTTCCCCGGGCCTGCGTGGGTTTTCTCCGGGTCCTCCGGTTTCCTCCCACATTCCAAAAACATGCATGGCAGGCTGATTGAACACTCCAAATTGTCCCAAGGTATGAGTGTGAGCGCCGATGGTTGTTCGTCTCTGTGTGCCCTGCACTTGGCTGACAACCGGTTCAGGGTGTCCCCCTCCTACTCACCGAAGAGGGCTGGGGTAGGCTCCAGCACCCCATCCGACACTTGTGCGGATAAGCGGATCGGAAAATGGATGGATGGATTTATTTACATAGCGCTTAAACAACAGCTGCAGCTGCACATATAATTTATCAAAACATAATCTAAAAGATTAATTCAATACATATACAAATCATACATACGTCCTGTGTCTCTGATTACCAAATACCATTTGATTAAGATATTAATACAAAGATAATAATATCACAAAAACAAGAAAATTTGCATACATAATTCATATTTAAACTATGTTTAAAAGCCATCCAACATATAATTTAAACAATTTAAGTCTTGCAATATATAAACCGGTTTCCCAAAGAATATCCAGGCACAACTTAATGGTGACTAATAAGCTGTTAAGGTGAATAATCATGTTTATCCCAATGAACTTTGCCACACTTAATAGGAACCAATATCCGTTTTCCTTCCTACACGGTAGATTTTATCAGCGATCCCACAGCAGTTTTACCGCAATTCAGGAATCTGAAACAGTAGTTGTATTGTAACGTAGACAATAAAATAAGATTACTATTTTACGTAAATAAATACGTTAATGTTCTTGGAATGAAGCAATATTTCACTTTGTAGAAATCACTGATTTCAAATCAGCAACTGAGTAAGTTGGGCCCAACCAATAAGCGCCGAATATGTTGCATATGGCCGCTTTTCATTGGCCGAATCAGTAGGTGGACCCCGGATTCTCTTCCTGGTGTTACATTAAAATAACTCCGACGTCTTCTTGGGTGAAGGTTCACTTACGGTGACTCGGTTACGCCCGCTGTCCACAACTTCTTTCCACTGTTTCACCCACCATGTCTGGCCGCGTTCTCGTCGGTGTCAAGCGTGTCATTGACTACGCAGTTAAGGTAAAAACATATATTAACTTGGATAAATATTTGGAATGATTACAGAGGGGTGACTTTCGGTGTTCTACTAGCAAACGTGCGCGTGCTAACAGTGCACAATATGTTGGAAAGTATACATTTCATTGGAGGAATAACCTACCGGGATACATTTCGGTGAATATAATGTTGACCGATAGTTTATTTGTGTATAGTTTGTTGGATATGTTGCTCAATGAGATGATAGTTTGTTGCCATGTTGTGTAACCTAAAGATTGAGTGTCCCTCGAATAAGAAAAACGAGACTATCAAGATGTATGATTAGCCTGAGACACAAGTGAAAGGATCCTAATCAATCTACTGCGTATTCGAAAAATCTCATGACACAAAACATTACAAAAAGAAAACAATAGTCGCTGGTGGTGTAGTGGTACGCTCGCCTGACTTGTGTGCGCGCAGCGTGGGTTCGTACTGCATGACGGTCTGGATGTGGGTGTGTATGGTTATTCGTACCTATGTGTGCCCTGCGACTGGCTGGCGAGCAGTTCGGGCTCTCGTCCGCCTTTTGCCCGAAGCCTGCTGAGGTCGGCCCCGCGACCCTGTTCAGAGTAAGCGGTGTCAAAAATGACATGACATGACGCAAGTAGAGAGTATACTGAAATAATGGTGATCCTGCCTAAAAAACTAATTATTTTGGTTCATTTTCTGTCATCACTTGATGATCAGAATCATTGATGGTGTTTTGTAGCTGACAGTCTTCACCGTGACTCTCCTGTCTGTCTTTGTCCACCTCATTCAGATCCGGGTGAAGCCGGACAAGAGTGGCGTGGTGACCGATGGCGTGAAGCACTCAATGAACCCCTTCTGCGAGATCGCCGTGGAGGAGGCGGTCAAGCTGAAGGAGAAGAAGCTTATCAAGGAGGTTGTGGCGGTGAGCTGCGGGCCACAGCAGGCACAGGTGGGCATCTCACATCCCAAGGGCAGCAGCGCAAAGTGATTCTCCATCATTGTTGCCAAAATGTTATGGCTGGTAATGCATGCGCAACTTTGGAATGTAAGTTGCTCAACCCTAATTTAAGATGGAAATCTCCGCCCCAAAAAAATCACAAGGATCTGATTTCAATTTTGACCCCCCCCCCCTCGCTGTCGCTTTTCGAAAATGCAAATGACAAAAGAATAGAAATAAAACCTTATTCAAGGGCTAGTATAAGTTTCTACGTTTGTACACTGGCTGCGCATAAGCCATAATTTATTCCAAAACTGCATTGTTTTCTTTCTCAGGAGACCATCCGCACCGCCCTTGCCATGGGAGCCGACCGCGGCATTCACGTGGAGGTGTCTGGCAAAGACTACGACAACTTGGGCCCCCTGCACGTCTCCAAGATCATGGCTGCATTGGCCAAGAAGGAGGAGGCCCAGCTTGTAATTCTTGGGAAACAGGTCAAAAGGACGCAAAAGCATTCCTGTCTCCCCCATATGCTCTTATATACCTGTACATCATAATATGTTTGTTTTTCAACAGGCCATCGATGACGACTGCAATCAGACGGGACAAATGACAGCAGCCCTACTGGACTGGCCTCAGGTAAGCGCTCGCTGTTAAATGTGTGAAGTTTTGCTGAGTACAATTCGTTTGTATTTAATGTTCAAGTACAATACATTTGGATTTAATCTTTTTTTAACATTTAAATCCAATTTTCATTGAACATTTATGAGCACTGCGTCTTAATGAATTATTTTTTCTTCATGAAGTATTTTTTGAGGTCATACTTGGTGTAACATATTGCCCTAGTCCCAGCAAACTTATCAACATGAGCAGAAAGAACTGCAGTGAACCTGCACAAACCAGCACAGAACAGTTCAAAGGTTTTCTAGACAAGTGAAGTTCACATATTGGCCAGCTGATGGCGGACTTGGATAGTTAGATTCGAAGCCGTTGACTCACTTCTAGCACACAGCAGGACAGACTCCACCAATATTTCCACATTTTGTGTCATTTTGAAGCTATTAACATGACTGCTATTGCTAATTATACAATAACAATTCCATTAAAGTGGGATTTAAAAATTGTGACAAGCAGTGGGAAACATTTTTTTTTTTTTTTGCTGCCAATAATGTAAATAATCCGCTTGGAGCCAAACTGTCACCGTAACTCATCCATTGTTAACCCTCACACGAGAGCAAAAACTCCGGTTTCCTCCCACATTCCAAAAACATGCATGGTAGGTTAATTGAACACTCGAATGGTTGTTTGTCTGTTGTGTGCCCTGCGACTGGCTGGCGACCAGTTGAAGGTGTACCCCGCCAAGTGGCCAGGCAAGACAGCTGGCAAGGGCTCCAGCAAGCTCGCGCGCCTCGTGAGGAGAAGTGTCTCAGAAAATGGTTGGATGGACATAAGCGTAAAAAGAAGTTCATTGCTGTTAACAGTTTTCGTTCACATTTTGACATTCTTAAATGTCACACCAATGTGAAAAAGAGTTCACCCCTAACGTTACTTTTTAACATTTCTGCGTGCTGTGACAGCATCATAAGGAAGCATATTTATACTCGTAACATTGCCCGTCATATATAACAAGTATTTTACATGTCGTTCAATTATTTGTTTGTGGGCAGGGCACGTTTGCGTCCGAAGTGACGCTGGAAGGCGGCAAAGTGAAAGTGGTGCGTGAGATTGACGGTGGCCTGGAGACCGTCAAGATCAACATGCCCGCCGTAGTCACGGCAGACCTTCGACTCAATACGCCTCGCTACGCCACCCTGCCTAATATCATGGTAAGTACTTGCAAATGGCACACACTGACTTCTAATGACTGCTAATGTCATGTGACACATTAAAACATCAGCCTTCTCGAGCCAGAGTTGCAAGCGTATGGTGAGCTAGCTAGCATGTGAAGCTAATTTAGCCGCCTATTGTATATCCTCACTGCTTTTTGTCAAACGCCACAACCAGTTGGACTCTGGGACACAAGTTACAGAAAATCCCAATTGGATTCCTATTAACATGATTGCGTTGACATTCTTGATCAATGTCTGTATTTGTTAGGTCAACTGTTTTGTGTGGAGCAGTTGTGTATTGAATTAAAAAAAGATGATTGTCTTGCTTTTTGTTGTAATATGTTCATCTTTGTAGTAATATAAGTCCTTTTTAGACCATTGAGAAAGGAACAAAAGGAGAATGTAAAAACCTGCCAAAATAACACTGTGGTTGTTGTACAACGGTTAACTTCTTTTCACACCAGTAGCAGAAGATCCAAATCAAAGTCCTTTGTTGACAAAGCAGCGGGTTAGTGTTGCGTTGTACTAAGCCAATGCTAATAGAACAAAACCGGGAAATAAAATAGAGTGCTTTTTAGAAATGCACCAAAATAACAAACACGCACAACTCATTGTTCTGCCCTTTCCTTCAGAAAGCCAAGAAGAAGAAAATTGCAAACGTGAAGCCGTCCGAGCTGGGCGTGGATCTGACGTCCCGCCTGGAAGTGCTGCGGGTGGACGAGCCTCCGCAGAGGCAGGCTGGCATCAAAGTGGAGACAGTGGACGACTTAGTGGGCAAACTCCGGGAGACGGGCAGCATATAACGTGGTCAGAAAGCGAATGGCGATAAGAATAGAACGGCAAAGGTAAGTAGCAGGGGAGTGCAAAAGTGGACCATGTCTATCGGGGATTGTGCACACGTGGCTAAAGTACAAACTCCCAAATCCAATTATTATTATTTTGGGGGCGGGGCTGGGCTTATTCTTGCCGTATCCCATTCCTATTTTACTCTTCTGATTGTGATTGGGGGCGCGTTCGGAAATTCACTGTGTACTACTCTGAGAAGGTTGTGTTCCCGAATGCAGCCAGCACCATGTCCCAGTGTCGGATCGCCTAGTGCGGGCACCGGCACTCCCGTTTTTGGGACACTCTATATATACGTGTGGCAAAATTGAGCAACGCATTGAGTTTCCAAACGATTGGAGTGGACGTGCTCCACGCTAAGGCAAAAGGAGAGTGTTTCCCAACGCGCCCCAGAGCGAACTGCCGAGGGTCGGGCCTGGCTAGCGCGAGCGCTACAGCAAGCCTAAAACTCTCCTGCTAAACGACATCTCCACCACGAGGTGTTCAATCGGGTGGGTGTGCGCAGTCTCGTCGCATTATCGCGTCGACTGACCCTGAATTGTCTCCTACATTGCAGTTTCCGCTGTAGATTTCAATGATGGACACACAGATGTTGCCGCTTTTAAATGACAGTTAACAATTATTTGCGCAAAAAGCTAACTTATCATATACAACACATCATTATTGATATAGTGCTTTCACAACAGCAGCAGCTGTAACAAAGCGCTCTACAGAAGAGTTAATATATATTTAATCTTGTTTGCCTGAGGTGACAAATAGCCTTTTTTTTTTTTTTTTTTTTTTTGCGACTGCTTGTAATAATTGAACGCATGCCTTTTGTTTCTCTCTCACAGGACAAGTACTGAGAAACACTGCCCTGCTGCCAGTGCAGTCGCACCACCTCATTTTTTTTCTACTCGTCACATCTGTACCATAAGCTTGGAATCTACTTCAGGGGTCAATACAGAACCATCTTGTTTTCATAACGCTAAAGGTTGGGTCACGCCGCGCCTGTAAATGATTGTAAATACCGTATACAGACACAAGCTTGTCATGTATGCAAAGATATTTGCCAGATTCCCAGACCGTGTCTCTCAGTACCGTCAAAACTTTTACCACAAGCGCCTCAGTTGTACATGATCATGACAATAAAGCAGCATTTGTTTTATTTTATTTCCTCGCAGTCTAATTGAAATGTGATTGTTCTTGTCATTTTCAGAGCAATAACCCACACTCAATTGTGCAGTCTTCTTTTGAAGAACAGCACAATGGCAATAAATCAAAATGTCAAGTGAAATCAGACATTGTTTTGTGTTTCAACAGAAATGTTTGTTTTAGAAATGGAAAAAACAAAAGACTCGTCACTGCATTTATTCCAGAATTCCCTGACAGTTTGAATGTTTCAAATCCAAACATTGTGGATACACTGACTTGGTGAGTGCGAGCAGGCTTCAATGTGATGTTGCGTGATTGGCCAAGGCTCCACGAGAGGCGTGGCTTCAACATGGAGCAGCACAGGTTTGCCGTTCCCATGCTCAGGTGACGCCTCTGTCTCTCCTCAAGGACATTGACACCCACCTGCTGTACAGTATTCTCAACTTGAGTTTGGAAATGCCTTTTTGATACTTTACAAAACGTCAACATTTTTTACCCCCCTTAAAAATGAAGAGGTACGAGGGACTAAGTGGTCATGTTTTGATGATTATTTGCGGTTTTACTTTTCCTGGTAAGTAAAGCTTTTTTTTTATTTTTTTTTTTTTAACTTTTGTCTTTTACAGGCTTACATTTAAATACAAAACGTAATGATATTACTTGATAAATAGGTGCTTTTATTGTTGGCTCTTGATGATTTGCTGCTATGCAATTTGTGCAATTTATTCAAAATGTGTCATTTTTTTGTTGTCATTTGTCTTTGCTGGGAGAAATGTACATTTGTGTTAATGTAATAGGAGTTGTTTTATTTAATCTTTTTTCTTGAAATTAGACACCTTCAATCTTGTACGATGAGTTCCTTTAATTCATTCTCAAAGCTTTTTTGAAAAATATGAATATATACATACAATTATCTCATTATATATATATATATATATATATATATATATATATATGAGATAGATAGATAGATATATATAGAGAGATAGATAGATGAAAAGCAAATGTTTGGCAAAGACTATTACTTCCGTCTATATGTCCACCATTATGTTTTTGTTTATATAGAATGAAACTACAGTTCCACTGAAACCTTATTTAAAAAAAAAAAGTAAATGTCTAAATAAGTGAAGTACAACTTTATTGTCAAAGTGTGCTGTATGTGCAACATACACTACAGATGAAATGTCTTCCCTCTCAACCAGACAATGAAATAAGATATAATATGAGAGCATTTTCACTCATGGAAGCAGCACTTCATACCCAAAAGACAAATTGCATGTACCTGTATTGACTAATAACCCAAAATTGCGGCCAAGTCTATGTTCTATAAACTAGCTGACTTGTAAAGAGCTCGCTTGCAGAGTACAAATGATGAAAAAGTGATTTTTTTTTTCTTTTTTTTTTGTACTTACTGCAGTTCATCTGTTTTCAAACCGTCAGGTGTTGACGGGCAGCTACTCGTATCCGCGCTGGGTGCCACCCGCGTGAACACCCTCGCAGACGCTAACCTCACCCTGGCCGTGTCCTTCAGCGGTGCGCCGGACCCGGCCGTGACCTGGTTCAAAGGCCGCCTCCCCGTCGTCACCTGGACGCTGGGCTCGGACACCCCCCCGGACGTGGCGGAAGAATACAGGCAAGCGCTCAGGCTGGAGCCCAACGGATCTCTCAGATTCGTCCGCGTGCCGCTCGGCTACGGCGGAGACTACACGGTGGAGATGACCAAGTCTGGGCTGGGCGCCGTCTCCTTAAATTTCACACTCGGGGTTTTTGGTGAGTGCGAGCAAGTCAAATGTTTTTACAGTTGCCTTCTTAGAAAAGAAATGACTTTTATTTCCTCTTTTTTCTTCGGGGAAAAAAATCCAACCATTTTTGTACTAAACGAATATATTTAATGTTATCTTTCAAGCGATTTCCCCCCTAGGAAACATTTGTTTTCATATTTTAACTCTCTTGTTTCCTTTTTAAACTCAAAATTGTAAATATAAAGTCTGAAATAATAATCACAATAAATATGAGGCCGTTTAAATTTGAAAAAAAAATGTTAAGCTCATGATATTCTTTTCCATTAAAAACCCCATCATAATGTAAAATCATAACTTTAAAAAAAATCTATTAAGCTTCTTATGTTATGCCATCTTTTTAATTAAAAAACACTTTAACCCTATTGTACAACAATCCGTTTTTTTCTTATACCGTAATAATTCGTCAAGCGTGGACCATTGCAATAAACCTTTTCTAAAGTAAAATCTGAAAATGATCAAATTTTTAGTTTTTAATCATGTAAAATGTTTCTTTTATTTCCAAAAATAAAATCCAACTTTTTTAACTAAGCCTTTTTTTCTTTTAAAGAACACCTTGTTAATTAACAAAAACATTAATGAACCTCAGAAAAAAAAAAATTCCCTCTTGCTTTCGTAACCTGAACAGCGCTTTAACTGGATAAGCTATGGTCAAATAAATAAATTCTGGCATTTCATGTTCTCTCCAAGCTGCTGCCATCTCCTAATGCTTCGACCACCTCTCCATTTCTATCCAGTAAGTTGATGGGTTTCTCACTCAGAACTCTTGGAGAACGTGACGATGACCGCTTTGCCCGACTTGATCAAAGAGGGCAGCGAGCAGTTGAGCGTGCAGTACCTCATGCTGCGAGGCGTGGTCGAGCGGCAGCTGTGGTTCTTCAACGGCCGCCCAGTAGCCGAAGGAGAAGACGGCTCGCGTTACTCACTGCGGCCCGGCAGCCTGGCGGTCCTCCAGCCCCGCCGGAACGACACGGGACGGTACACCGTGTCGCTGAGCAACCCCTTCAGCAGTGTGACGCTCCACTTGAATGTCACTGTTTTGTGTACGAATAGTTCCACTTGCAGAGAGAGTCAAAGTACTCATGAACACTCCAAATCTGTGTTGAAGTAGAAGGGGAGAAAAAAGACAATACAAATCAAAGACATCTCAACAATATCTGTCTAGTCTGTCTTTGTAGCCCACTCAGTTGTCGTCTTCTCTTTGTGGTCAATTCCAGACGGTCCGGATGAGCCCAGAATCCAAATCAAGCCAGTTCAGGACTTTTACGTCTCCGGAGATGGGCTCACCCTGTCCTGCCAGGCGGATGGATCTCCGCAGCCCCTCGTGGAGTGGACGTTTGGTGACCAGACTCTGTCTGATGACCTCATGGGTGTCCTAAATCTCACCGCAGTGCAGACCAACCAAAGTGGCCTTTATGTCTGTCGGCTGCGCAACCAAATGACTGGAGTGCAACGGCAGCAGACCGTTGCCATAAACGTGTATGGTATGTTGACTTTTTAGTGCACTTTTTTTTTAACCAGTACCTGTCTCTGTGAAAAGATGAAAGCCATGGAAGCTCTCTTGCTAACCATAGCTTGTGCTGTAATATCTAACTACAAAAATGTCAGGAAAAGCCTACGAGAAGGGCCACACTTGATTTGGGGTTCATCGGAGGCACTTCCGATTGTTGCTGGTGTGTACTGACTCCCATTTTACATGATTTGGAATGAGATCGATTAATTTTGAGCCACATCCCCACCTGTGGGGGTGTGCACACTTTTGCAACCACATGATCATACAGTATTTATTTGTCTTCCCCGTGTTTGAAATCACTATTTCCCATTACAGTAGAATACATGTAATTTTTAAGAGGTTATAGTATAATTGTAAGTTTTTGAGAATAAAGTTGTGTGTGTTTGTTTGTTTTATTTATTTTACTCAGAAAAACTGTGTTAAATGAGCATGAAGTCTGAACGTGACATGGCTAACATTTTCTGAGAATATGTTCTACATATTCACTGGCACAGAGAGACCAGCAGGAAGGCCGCAGTGCTCCGTAGTGTCCGAGGACAACCGAAGCTTACGCTACAGCTGCCGGTGGTCGGGCGGAACGCCGCCAGCCACTCTGTCCTTCCCGAGTTTCCACGTGGGCAGCAGCCTGGAAAACGTTACCTTGACTGTCAACGCGTCAAGTGAACTGGATGGGAGAATGTTCACGTGCCGGGCACACCATCCCGTGGAAAACAGCGAGTGCAACGTTACGGCCGGTAGGTGCCAGGAAACTTTTGTGGTCGCCCCGCACACCCTAAATATAAGTTGTATCCCGTAATCTTATCAGTTGTAATCTTGTGAAAAAAAAAAACTTTCTTTTTTTTAATATTCCAATTAAAACATATCTATATAAATATAACTTCTGTTAATATTAGAAAAATTTCTAAAGCAATTACAACTTTAATTTTGTATTATTGTGACCATAGTACTGAAGTATTAATATACTCAATTTTAACCTTGTAATATGACTTTTTCATGCAAAAAATGGCACATTAATCTCACAATTTTACTTTATTTCTTGAACTACCATTTCAATATACTATTATGACTTTTTTCCTAAAAACCGTGTCCTAAATCATTTTGTGATATTTTTTCCTGACCATATACAATTTTATTTTTATAATATTACAACTTTTTCCTCACCAAAATGTAACTTCAATTTCTTGATGTGCAACTTCACTTGTGGGGGGGAAAAATACAAATTTTATCCTGTAATATGACTTCTAAAAAAATACAAATTAAAAAAATCAGACTTTTCCTTTTACATATTGGCTTTTATTTCCCATTCATATTGAAATGTGACTTTACACACAACTTCATACCTTTAGCGTGTTTGTCTCCTTCCCAGAAAGTCCGCAGAACTTCCTCCCGAGCGTGAAAACCGAGGTGGACTCTGAGGGCAAAATAGTGGTCAGCATCCGCTGCCTGAGCCGGGCCACGCCCCCCGCCGCCGTGCGGTGGTTCCGAGGCGGCGAGCCGCTCGGCGACGACGCCCTCACCAGTGACGACGGCGCCAGCCTCCGCATCCGTCATCGCAACGTCAGCGTGCTCGTCCTGCAAAACTACACCTGCGCCTGCCGAAATCCCCTGGGCAGCCGCAGCAAGCATCTCCGCTTGCAGGGTAGTCCACTCCACCGAACTGCTTTACGCCACTTAGTTACAGTGAAAACGCTCAAGTCGAACACACCACAGCGTGTGTGTTCGGTTTGAGCGTTTTCACTGTAGTCCGCTAGTGTTCTGTCCCAGCCGCCCCCCCCCAATAAAAAACGGACTTTCATCTTTATATTATTATTATTATTATCCCTTTTTTTATTTGCATACTTGGAATCCTAATATGTCACTCAGCTAATATTTAAAGCACTTCCCAGCAGAAGGCTTCTATTGTGTTGTGCCTCTAATTTCAGCAACTTGACATTCCCCAAGTGAAAGACAACAAAGAGGCTTCAGACAGTGTGCGCAAACGTGCGCTTGCGTGTTCCTGTTGAACAAAGCGCTTCGCTGTTGACATCTGACTCCGCCTCTTCCCTCCCAATCCCTCCAGAGCCGGCCATCTCCAATTTCAGTTTGTTCCCGCACAAGGACGGAACCATCGTCACGTTGACCTGGGAAGTCCCGCCCACCTCCATTGTCACAGGTAAAAAAAAAAAAAAATAATAATAATGATGATCATAAAAAGGCATCAGCATCATAGCCCACTCAACTTGTTCCGATGTGTTCATCTCAGCAAAAGTGTGTCGGAAATACGCAACCTGAGGATCACTATTTGGAGTAAACAACGTGTCATTCAGCAGCATCTTGTTTGGAGGGAAAACCCATTCAGAGTGTATCGGACACACTCGTGTGAATCATCCTTCAGCGCTAACAAAGAGCAACAATCCCTTAGAGTTGACACTCAGTCATTCCCGCTTGAATGTTTGAATGTAGGTTTTGACATCCAGATGAGCGGACCGGCCCTGGTGAGCGCCGACGGCAGCGCCGGTCAGTCTAAAGGCAACGGCGACACGTTCCGCACCATCCTGCCCAAGCCCGGCTCGGCCCGAAGCGCAGACGTCTTGCGTCTGGATCCCAAAGCCACGTATCGCTTCCGGGTTCTTCCCAGAGCTCTGATGACCGAAGGCCGGCCAACAGAAGCCCGCCGCATCGGCCCAGGTATGCCAAAAACATGATCATGAGATTTCATTTCAAAGTAATCTATTTGGGTGATTCATAGAATAAATCTCAAGAGAGCGAGAGAACATGTATTGAAATGTTTAAAAATGTGTCTATTTTTGTTTCAATATTTTGGATTGTATGATAACATAAAAAAATATGAACAGCGAAGGATTAAAATTGAAACATGTTGAATGTACAGTTCATGTTTAAAAATATCAAATTTATATGTTTGGTAGGATCATAAAAAAATATTCAGTAGATACAATTTACATTTGTATGGTAGAAATATTTTCAGAAATGTAAACATTTTTCAATTTCAGAATTTGTTTTCTTTAAATGAAACTGGCATTCTAGTTGTCAATATGTGTGACAAAATCTATTGTCAATTACTGTCGTTTAAAAAAAAACAAAAGTTTGAAAATCATTCTAAACAAAAAAAAAAAAAGGATAAATATCTGTTTTGCGATTGTTGCTGTGCCTTTTTCACAAGTGAGTCTCTTCAGGCTTCCGATTGGCTTAAATGGTGTTCCTTTTGTCGGAACACTTTTGTGGATGTTTTTGTAGTTGACAATGCAGTATGCTGACTGTGTTGACTATGACGGCAGCAAGTGTTTTTTTTTTTTTTTTTAATCCATCCATCCATTTTCTGATCCGCTTCCCCTCACAAGGGTCGCGGGGCATGCTGGAGCCTATCCCAGCTGTCTTGGGGCAGTAGGCGAGAGACACCCTGAACCAGTTGCAAGCCAATCGCAGGGCAGTGGGTTTTTTTAAACATCTATGTATTTATTCTATTTTGTGGCACCAGCTGAGGGTTTGAGCGGTCCGGCCATTGCGGGCATCGCGGCCGGAATCCCATGCAGCATCCTCTTCCTGCTTCTCATGTGCGGCCTCGTCTATTTGGCCTTCTACTGGAGCAGAGCCAAAAGACACCAGACGAGTTATCCTGTGTCCAGAGCTGCCGACAAGGTTCGGAGCCTTGTTTTTAATTATTTTTTAATTTTTTTTTTTTTTTTTTTTTTTTTTAAACCATCATCCGTAGCTGCCATTACAGTAGCGACCAAGCCGGTTGCCAACAGTGAGTAAGTAAGTAAGTGACGCTCTCCTAAAAATGGTTTTCATTGCCGATATAATCGTAGCTTGAATTGCAAAGTGCCCCGTTGGCGGTTTGCTGCTTCAGGTGTCCACCACTTGACTATTGGGAGTCACTATAACACAAACGTTCACGAGAGTTTTGAAATCGGGGCAACTGTCACACGCAGTCATCTGAGTTATTTTTGGCTGAGTTTTAAAAACAAGAAGCATTTAAGCATTGCCAAATCATCTTTCTACTTGTGTTGGAACCGGGGTTTTCATGGTTTGGGGATTTTTTATTGCAGTTAGTTTTTTGTTTTGTTTTGACTTTTTTTTTTTTTTTTAACACTAGTGAGTTTTTAGGGTTTTGTTTGTTTGTTTGTTTGTTTTTTTACTTTATTACTCTAAATTGACTTTTAGTTTTAGTATCAGTTTTAGTTTTTTTTTTTTTTTTTTTAATGTATGGACTATTGGTTCAGTGCAAGATTAAAATAAAAATAAAGGTCACTAACTATTGCATTATAAAGCAACACAAACTACAATTCTCAAACAACTACCATGTTCTTTTTTTGCGCAATATTGTATTTATTTTACTTGGTTATCAGAAAGCCGTTCTTCAATTTTAGTGTTCTTTTGTTCGTTTTCATGCACTACTGAAAAACAAACATGGTTGCAACACCGTGTCTCTTCAAGTAGCAAATATTTGAATACTACTTAATTAGCACGTAGGTAGCTATGAGTTTTCAGCAATCCGCCGAGATTAAGTTCCACAGAAACAAAATGCAAATGGTTTGATATTTTTTTTTTTTTTTCCCTTGTTTCCAGGTGACGACTACCCCGATGCAGACACCTCACAATCTCTTGCCAGGAGGTGGCAAGTCTCCCCCCGACTACAACAGACTACTGCATCAGGTGCTCCTGACGATCGTGTCGCCACATTGACTTCAACAAATCTTCAATCATTTCTTGTTGTTTTGCAGACGCCGTCCAGCCTTTCAGTGGCTGCGCCGCCATTCATCCCGCCGCCGCCCGTCAGAGTTGCGACAACAGTCTGAGCCAGATGAAGTTTGTACCGTAGGCCTTGTTTTTCCATTTTGTATTAACGTGTGTGTGTACAGTATTATGTATTCTCTTAAAATGTTTTTCATGAATAAGCTTTTACACTGCTCACGTTAAAATACAGTTTATGTTCATTTTGGGAGCCTATTTAGTTTTTGAAGTAGTTTGAGTGCCTGAATAAATATTTCTAGTTTGAATGGTTTTGCAAGAGAATTAATTTTGTTCATTATCATCAATTAGTTTCAAATGATATTTTTTAGACCCTTTTACAGACAAGAAAATTAGTAAGTTCAAGAAAGGATGCTTTTTAGCGCGACAGTAAGCCCACATTTTATTTTATTTTATTCTTTTTTGAAGTTCTCTTGTGTGTTTTCCACCGGGAAGCGGTTGCGCTCGTCATCTTTGGCGTCCTCGACGGCCCGTTCGTGCCGCTCCTTCAACGTGGGCCAGCCACTCTTCTGCACTCGTGCATCCTGTAGGCACACATGTAGAATATACCTGCAACCCAAAACACAAAAAAACAAAAATGTCTATGATTTCCTTTGAGTCCACGAGTGCGTCATCAGTTTTGATCTTTTTTCAAAGCTGATTTGAAATGAGATGACGAGATTTTTCGCTGCACCTGCAAAGAAGGTCATGAGCAGTGCCACCCATCCCAGGATGTAGGACCACGAGAAGCGCCAGTCGCCAAAGCGTTTGCCCAGGAAGTTGACGGTCACCCCCGTGTAGATGGCCATCGCCAGCAGCACGAACAGCGCTGCGGCCGGGAGCAATGTGACACGATTAAACGCCGCCGGGGACCTTTTGGCAACATGACTTGTTTTGTTTTTGGCGCCACCCACTCGACACAAAGAACATGATGCCGGCGGCGAAGGAGCGGTTGAACTTCTCGAAGGCTGAGAAGTGAGCGAAGGACAGGATCCCCGCGATGATGCCGGCGAAACAGGACATGGCTGAGAGGATCATGAAAGCGCGCGTGGCGTTCCAGTAGGCTGCAAAAACAACCAGGTATGACATTTTGGGTTCATTCCTTCCTTGACCAAGCGTATGTCAAACCCATTTTTTCCACTGTTTCAGCCACCCACCCCCCATTTTTTGCTGTGACATTTTTAAATAGCCCTTCACAAGTTGCTGTCGTTACAAAGACCCCATTTCGTGCCCTTGGATTGTCCTGGCCGCCACTTACCGATGCTGTCTGTCTGCATGTGACACTTTCCCGACATGCAGTAGCGCCACAGGCCCTGGTGGGCGAAGCTGCCCGACAACCGGTACTGCATCCAGTAGTCGGTGGCCGTGGAGACCACCAGCAAGATGTTCCCCACGATGGCGCAAAACAGCCCTCCTCCCATGAAGCTGTACATCGTGAGCGAGAGCCTCCGACGGCTTCCTCTGGGCCCCCTGGTGACACGGAGGTGAGGCGTCATAGCGCTGATCTCATGAGCCTTTTTCCTCAATTGTTTATTGTCTTTATCTGACGACATCTTAGCAGACAACAGTCAAATCCAAAAAAAGAATATTTAAATTCGTCCATCCATTATCTGAACGGCTTTATCCTCATGAGGGTGGCGGCCGCGCTACACCCTCAACTGGTTGCCAGCCAATCAGCAAACATTTTGGTGTATCAGTGGAGGAAAAAAATGAAAAACAACACAAAACAGCCCCCCAAAAACCAATTCCCCCCTCCTGTGACCCTGTTTCATGAACAGTATTTAAAATACAGCTGACATCATGTTAGAAGATGAACATTTTTTTTACTTTGTTTTTCTCAAGCTGTTGTACCATACCTCATTTCAGGTTTTTTTTTCTTGATATAACCTAATTTTCTTGAATGACTTGCACTCATCAGTTGACACATTGCAGATGATACTTTCCCCCTCCAAAAAAGCGGCCACCACCTTACCTTAATTCCTCAGGCAGTGAGAGCGACCGAGAGTTGAAGCCGGCAGGGGAGCAAACGTGGAAAGAGGACCCGCGCGGCCCAAGTCCAAAAAGTTATCCTCTGCTCTTTTCTGTCGATGGAGGCAAAATTCTTTAGCAGCGGGCTGGGTGGTGTTTTGGGGATGCTGCCACCGCCGCCGGTGTTGAGTCGGGGGGGAGGGTGGCGGGCGGGTTCTTCTGGAAATGCCGGCATGTGCAAAGGCCTGCACTACTGCGCCGCTCAATAGAAGCTGCTGAGGTGCACGTTTTCTTTCATAGGACGTACCGGAG